GCAGTCGAAACCCCCTGCGAAACAGCAATTGCCCCACGCTGGCAACAGTATATGCCAGTGCCAACGTGCTTCCACTGCGATCGTACAGTCCAATAACGCGTCAGTCAGCCTGTCGGCCATTTTCGGGAGCTGCAGAACTAGTATCAGGTGCCCAAACAAACCACCGTCACGTGGACTTTACCTATCCACCGTGTTCTAGGTGTATTTCAGCGCATGGGCGAGGGCCTATTCGGCCACATGCGCATAAGTGAGGATGGCCAATAAAGTAGCGCTGCCCAGGTCTCTCCTATGCTCATTCCACTCTAAACGCACAAATAAAACAAACTCGGAAAATGCGAGGGGTTATTCGATCAGACACTAATGCACATCAGGCGTCAACAAAACTGCCCCTCATTCATGCAGCCGCCAGGTAATGTAATATGCTAGCTACCTTGCGAAGGAGTAAACTTCCCTCAAGAAAATGTGCAAATATCACTTCTGTGTCTTTGGTAAGGTTTGGTTCATATATAGCGAATGATCAGCAAGTCTTGCTAGGCACAAAAGACGAGTATAAACGAACATACGCTGCCGTTGCTAGCCTGCGTTTGCGCACACCGCAGATTGCGACCACCGCTTCATTTGGGACGGAACTGAGGTAATGGCCATGATTAATACCAAACAGGCGCGCGAATTTCTTGGCGCTCGGAACCTTACCACAAACACCATCAACTGCCATGTCGATCTGGATGCACACTACGAAGGTCTGCGTGCACGGCTCACTGACTTGCGCCTACCTCAAAACAACAGCTGTTTGCCCATGCTCGATCAAATAGAAGTCCCCTGATTCAGTATCCCTTCCCCCACCCCGACGCGTGAACCGTACGCCCCCCACTTCCAGCATCTATTGTAACAGGATTCTCATCCTCCACGCGTGGACGTCTGTCTGTGCATGCTACCAAACGCTATAGTGCGATAATCCTAACTCGCATTTTTCATTTCGTCTAACGACGGACCGGTGTAACCAGCTTCAAAATCCACGAGTAAACCTCGATTTTTCCGAGAAGCCGGCGCATTCGTCAATAATAACAGGTTTGACGTGCTTGAGCCTCATACAACATACTATTGATCATGGTCTGGAAAGTTGTCAACAGATAAGATAACTCGATCTTCCTTTGGAAAGACGGTGAGGCGACATCGAATCCTTAATGCGGCCTCTATAGCACACGTCAGATAACGGCTTCATGTCACATCAGCCACTGTGCCTAACCCTATTCCCATGCGACTTGATTCGGACAAGCCACTGACGTATGGGAGAGAGAGCGATCCAACCGGTGCTTATATGCCATCGCCCCTTGGTCTTGCAAAAGCCCACTTCAGTAGTTTTTTTTTAAGGATTGCCTAATTGATATATGATTTCCTGTAGTTTCTACATTTTAAGGCTTACGTCCGAGTTCGCTGAGTCATAATGTGGCTATGGTATATGTGTGTGTGTGTGTGTGTGTGTGTGTGTGTGTGTGTGTGTGTG